GTTCGCTTCCGGCCAATTTTTTTCTTAAACAATTCAATGGCTCACTAATTTTTTTATATAGTAATTTAGGTCCAATTTTAGTATCCAAACATGATGTTGTAGATCAAATAGTTAATAAGTTTTATTTTAAGATAAGTAAATATTAAAAGCAACCATTAAATTTAGAATAATACATGGCCGATTGGTATCATAAGTTAATTGTGGATTTGAACTTTTTTACCATTGATATTTTTTTGGCTGTTTTTTCTATTAAAATATAGGTTTAAAATGAGAAAAGTTTATTTAGTGATTTTATAAGAAAGAAATTAAAAAATAATCATTTTAAATTAAAATTTTACTGTAGTTTTTGTTTATATAAGATAATGATATTTTTTGAAAATTTTGATTTAGAAGATATGAGAGTTTTTTAAAATATCGCTTCCGTTCTCTAAATCTCTAGGCACGGCTCTGCTCCTAGTGGTTTGACCTTAGTTCTCCAGTCGAACTGCTTCACAAGGTTGGCCAGTGTTACCTCGGCCATAGTCAATCCAAATCTTATTCCGGGACAACGCCTTCTTCCTGATCCAAATGGTATGTACATGAAATCTTGTCCTTCAAACTCCACAAGTGCATCTCAATGCCTCTCTGGCCTAAATTCTTCTGCATCCGCTCCCCAAGTTTCGGTGTCTCGTTGGATTGCCCAAGCATTGATTATCACCTGTAGGAGTTTTAAAATCTAGAATGATATTTATATCTAATTATAAAAAAAAAAACCATTTAAGGTAGATATGATTTTACCAATGTTCCTTGAGCAATATCATATCCTTTTAATTTGACATCTTCACATAATCCTCGGAGAATTATTGGAACTGGAGGATGCAAACGTAGCACTTCCTTGATCACAGCCTTTAAGTACTTCATCTTCTCAACTTCTTCCTCTGATACATATAACTTTTCGGTTGTCGTCGAAGCGGAGTATATGTCATCTTTGAGTTTCTTCATACACTCTGGATGTCTCATAAGTTCCGTCATTGTCCATTCTAGTAGCGTGAATGTAGTTGCTGTTCCCCCAAGAAACACATCTAATAAAAGAAAACAAAAAGAATTATGGAAGTAACAAAAGAAAAAAAAAAAGTGAAGCAAAGGAATGCATGAATGGTCTTTACCAAAATGAGATTTTTATCTCGCTATTATACCAAACTCAAATCCCATAGTCTTGTCTCTCTGAATCGAGACAAGTATATCAACAAAATCTGACCTCTCTTTGTCTGCATGATCCTCTACATGTTCTTGCACTGCTTTTTCAAGAAAACTATCAATCTTGTTACTTACTTCCTCTACTTTATCATCCACCCCACATATCTTATCTATCCATGCCAAAATAGGAATGTATTCACCAAGCGGGAAAGATCCTGAGAGTTCCATAGTCTTTCTGACTATTTCCTTAATTAACATTATATGTATTACCAACCTCCTCGCCGTCACTACTATATTTTCTTCCCAATGCAATCCTACATATCAAATCGCTTGTCAAACTCGAAAGAAGTCCACTTAAGTTCAACGGTGAAGAAGAAGAAGCCGCCTTCTCCACCTTCTCCATCATTACGTTTATCTCTTCTTCTCTTACTTTCTCAAAGGACCGAACCATTTTTTTGCTGAGGAGATGCATAACACATATACTCTGAATAGAGATTTAAAATACGTTTGTTAATTACAATTACGATAAAAACTTTAGATGTATGTAACTTTGTTTTTTTTTTTTTTTTTTGGTCAACAAGATAGGTAACTTTGTTTACATGTATATTGGTGGAAAAAGTTTACAATAATTAATGCTTATCGTATATAATTAAGTTCTACAGAAAAGATTTCTAGTCAGCCGGATCTGGTAACGCTAAGCGAATATATACCTCATATTCAAATTGGAGACAAATTAATCATATATGAGAAGCATCCCAAGCAGATTTGAAATATGTTAATCAGCAAAGAGAAAAGTGAACACAATTTTTTTACTGTACATTACAAAACTAGGGTGTGGTAGTTAAGATTTAGTTTCGGTTCGGTTTCTTTGGCCTTCGGGCTTTTAGTTCTCCTTTCTATAATTAAAGATTTAAACCAAGCGAAACCTTTGTACTATATAGTTTGGTTAGGTTTACCACAATTTGAGTTAGGTTCAGTTTGCCTTTTGTTTTGGTTATGTTCGTTTTGTTACACAAAAAACAGTTTTATTTCGGTTTTGGTTTTTCAAATTTTAAAATAATGAAACCAAATGGTCAAAATAATAAAATTTGTTCAGTTTTGATTTAACTCTTTCGGTTTAGTCCATTTCAAATTATAAAATTATAAAATGTCACACCTTTTTTTTTTTTTTTAATAACCGCGGATCTCCCAAAGATTTCCTAGGCCCAAGGACTAATCCCACGAAGCTGGCAATTCCTCTATGTAAACCTGCCAGTGGCCGTGCCTCGAACCCTGGGGAAAAAGGGGAAAATGCCACATCTCGCCCACCATTCAGAAACATAGAAACAGCTTTCCTTTTGGGGCGGTCGGCGAACTTAAGATCGTTTGTTTTCATGACGTCATGAGCCATGTCGGCTGATAAGACTACGAGGGTGGGGACACGACCGAAGTGAAGGAGCATGAGCGGTCCATAGCGGAGGCTGAGGGAATGGAGGGAGCGGTGAGGGTGGAGGCTAAGCTGGTGGAGGTTTCCTATCACTGGAAGCCGCCATGGAGACGGTGGTGGGTTCAGTTTTGTGGTGGTTCGTTTGGATCGTGATTTTATGAACATAAGAGCTAAGAATGTCGTTATACACAGAGATATTAATAATATCGTTTCCATTTTCGTTCACGACAACAACTATTTGTGTTTTGATGAAAATTAGTGTATCTTGATTCCTCTCTACTTGTATTATATAGTGTTTAGGAACACATGATTCACATCGTATTAGTAATGTCATGATATAACATTAATATAATAGACCTTTTTCTTTCTTTTAAAAGCTAAGCTATGAATATATTCAGTTCTAAAAGTAGCTTTTGTGAAAGCCACTTAGTTTCGAAAGAAAGAAAAAAGTAAAAACAAGTGTAATTTAGATTGATGATATATTTTCAGATATGTGAAGCCAAAACTGTTCTAAGCAAATCGGAGAAGCCATTTCTTTGTCTGTCTCCACAACCTTCCTACCTTTTTTTAGGAGTTGAATACTGTTGTGAATTCGAGTGAACTCGAAAAATTTGAAACAACTTTAAAGTGTAAACAAGAAATTTGAGGCAATTCCCTTTAGCCTCTCCCTCTATAGTTTGTATTAATTTTGTTGGTTATAACTTATAAGTTACAACTTTTTTATATATATAATAAAGGATTTGCTATTGATTGCATAAGAAAGAATTTTTTTTACAAAGCCAAAAGGAAACATTACAATTAACCTATACCGTAATAGCTTAACTCTACTCAATAAGGAAACATTACAATTGCAATATATTCGTGAATCACGGGATTAGTATCCCCCAAAACCATCTTTACATAATTAAAACACACACATGAGTGGAGTATATTTTTCTGTAGTTTATATTCTTTTGCATAACAAGTGGGCATTTTCTCTTTACAAAATGGGCACTCAATAAGCTATCATAACAATCACATTTGTAACCGTCTTTATATTATTAAAACACGAATAATTGGAGACACCACTGAGATTTGTATTTTAATTTTTTGGTAGTTGGTAGAGGATAAAGCTCCCCTACAATTTATTCATAACATAAAAGAATTATACTCGGACATTCCGTGGAAACGCAGTCCCATTCATATTTTTTAACAACACCGGACTTACAGACTTTGGACAAACATCAAAATAAATGCGATAAAAAAACACCACTGACATTTGTGATAAAAAAAAAAAAAAAAAAAACATGCGAAAGTTTGGGTGGAAAATCGAATATTGGCTTAGTGAAGTAATAACTGGGTAAGACTAGTTGAGTTAAAATGAATATTATACATCAATTCCAATAATTCATCGACTCCTCAAACACAGTCAATGTCTGTTGGTGGCAGATTTAATGGTAACCCTTAAAGCTCTATAGGAAATGGGTATAGTCATGCTCCGAGGTGAATAGTCGACTGGTTGGGATAAACTGGGAGTCAGTATTTTCATTGTCAACACGGATGAACCGTATGATCTGATTCGAAGAATCAAGTAAAAATTCAAACAATCAATGTGGGATTTTGGCTAAGAGAATTCTATTTACTAAGTAACTTAGCTAGGGTCAATGAAATGACTGAGTGCCTAAGTTATGATTGAGGAAATTATACATTTAGAAACAATGGTAAACTTCATAATTAATATCTTCCGTATTCTTCTTGATTCTTCAACAAACTTATCTAATCTTCATGATTTTCATATTTTAGGGCAATCATTATGACCGTCGATCTTGGTAGATTTCTGGTAGTCCTAATAAAACCTATCAAATTGTCAACTAAGTCACTTTTGGAGAGTAAAAACACAAAAGTATTGTGGAAGAATTATAATAGATGATTCTCATAAAAATAATGAGAAGATGTTAATTATGATTGTTGAAGAATCAAGAAGAACAGAAAGTAGCTCGCGATTGTGAGATTAAAAAGTAACTCGCTATTGCGATATCAAAAAATAATTCTCGAGGATGATAACTCAGTTAAACCCACAGAGTAAACACATATACCATCTTCTAGTAGACGAAATTAATTTGCAAGTAGGAAATAATAGCAGATAAGATGCTGAACCGTCGATGGCTGGTTTTTCAAACATATATCGGGCTGCCTCTCTACCAAATGTAACCTAAGCAAGCGGTTAATTTGACTTGGTCAAAACTCGCAAGATAATTAAATGGTTCAACGTTTCGAACGAGCACTACAAGTGGGACATGAACAAGAAGAATAAAGATTCAGTGGTCCTGTTTTAGACAAAATATGGAGAAGAAGAAAGAGTCCTACGTGGTACGTAATTTTTTAAAATATAATTATAACAATAATGCGAAACCAAACATAAAAACATAATTATGCATGTCATAAAATCACTCATAGAGTACAGACTTATTTTATGTAAAATACACACACGATTAAGCACCAAATATCATTGGTAGATTAACATGGGACGTAACAGATACACTTGTGAGCTGGGAAGACATAGTTGCAAGATCCATGTTTTGCTCCCTCAAGATTAATATACTGATTCTTGCACGCATTACTGTTTCCACAAACCCCTGACTATATCCCACTTGGCTTCTCGCACAACCTTTGTGCTTCCACCATTGTTGGTGCTTCTGCAAATGGATATATACATCTCCCAGGGTTAATTATCATATAAATTAAAATTATATTTAACACACATTTTTATTTGTATGATAAAAGCATTACTCACCAAAAGCTGCAAAGAGAACAAGTGCAGCGAAGATAAGGGTGATGATGGAAGCAAACTTAGCCATGATGTTTATTACTACTTTGTTTTCAATGTATAGATGTATGTGTTGTGTGAAGAAATAAGCTTAAGATCAATCTCTATTTATAATGAAATGAATGTGAGTTAATCTTCTACTGTCCCATGGTCCCATGTCCCTAATCTTCATTAGGGATACCTTTCTACTGTCCCATGGTCCCATTAAGAAAGAGAGATGGCAAAAATGATTGGGTTCTTGCTTACTTATGAATGTGAGTTAATCTTCTCCACAATTAATATAGTATCTAGTTTAAGAAAAGAAGATTATAAACTGGTGGTGACATCATTATCATATCTGGAAATTTCTTGCGACCCAAGCATATGGAGAAGCAAAAGTAGTGTCGATAGACCATGGGACCAAAATAACCAATAGAAGTAAGAACACAATCATTTTTGCCATCTCTCTTTCTTAATTTCCAAAATCTCTTGATTCAGTATTCTTTTAATAGCATTCTGCAAATGGCAAATGAAGACTGAAACAAAACATGTATTGTATTTCGAATCATTTCGGAGTAAACCCCACGGCTGGTTATGGACTTAATTATAATACATTTTTAGATTTTGACAAAGTCCAACCGAGATAATGGGATATGACTTAATATTGATGAAAATTCAACGACGAAAATTTAAACACACAGATTTTAGAATTCAAAATCATGTGCTATTCAAACTAATTGAGCACGGCCAGTGCTACAAGTAATTATTTTTTTATTTTGTTTTGGTTTATATAATTTTGTATGTATTTGATCTGCATTTTAGTTAACTAATGACGACTTTTATACTACTTTTTTTTTTTTTGATGAATTGGCATGTCCTAAAATAAACAAAATAAACGGCAAATCTAGAAATTTTGTTGCATGTGGAAGAACTCTATTTCTTCTTGTTTTCTAAAAACCATTAGATTTTCTGATGACCAATCTTATCACTCGATAATATTCAAAGACACAAGTTAAACTAACACTAATTGTAGTTCATTGCAATTTTCGTTATGTGACATGAGCTCATACATAGAAAAGCCACTCCTATAAAAAAACCGATAAATGAACATACTCAAGTGTAAATTTGATGGATCCGACCCCATTTCTGCTGGATTGGTCCACTTCGAATTTGTTTACGGTTTTAGTCAAATTAAAACCTTTTATACCTAAGTTTCATGTGAAATCTATTTTTGAATCTAAATGACTCTACATATTTATAATACACTTTATAAGATGGAAGAATCAATCTAAATAGTTAAAATTGATTGTAGGTCTATACAAACTTGACGACAACAAACAAAAAAAAAAAAAAAACACATTGCCCAACCAACTTTGCCAATTATTATCTTTATCATATGTATTAAACAAAAAAAGTTGATATTTAAGTAAATTGTATACATTGCTTATCAATGATTCCAAAAATAACAACATAATCCATTCGTTTTCAAGAAATGTTGTCCCTTAAAGCCCCGGTGCGGGCGGCAACAACGAAGGTGGTGATGATGGAGAAGGCGAGGGAGGTATATCTCTTTTCCTAGCTCGTTGGCTTGTTGATGATCGTACCCGTGATCATCATTCTTCTCCATTCTGATTTTAAATCATAAAAAGTTAAGAATCATATCTTTATAATATATATATATATATAATATGACAAGATTTCTTCAAAACAAACTCTAAAAATGTGACATTTGGCGTTCTACTCTTTTGACACATGTCATTTACAATTTTTTTTTTTAATTTAAGTGCAATAAATCTGTTTATTTGATTTTTGAGAACAATAACCACAATAGTCCTTAAATCAAATTATAAAATAAAATCAAAATTATTTGATGATAAGTTTTGAATAAAGAGATATTTTCCTACATTTTATCTTTTTCACATAATTTATAGTAAAAAATAAAGATCAAATTATTAGGCGATAAAATAGATAATGAATATATTAATAAAATTGACTTTATCTATATCTTATTAAACCGCAAACATAATACATTTAATTCTTTAGTCATATATATTAATCCACCTTTTAATACTAAATTGTAACCTAAATCATATAAATTGTGTATTAACTTTTTTTCTCTATTCAACGGCATTCAAACACACTATTAACTATTATTGTAACTCCCATAATTTAATTATTTAAAATGGAATGTATTTTCTCATGGTGGAGGTTACATTTACATATTAATTTACTATAATTTACAAGTGGTATGATACATTTGTATGAAATGAATCAATAGCGGAATTTCATCATACAACCTTGCCGAGGACAAGCAGGAAGCTTCAAGAACAAAACACATGATCAAATCGGATGAACATAACCTCATTGGCACTAATGAATGCATGTGTCCCAATCCTTCATATTCTTCCAAAGATTCGACAAAAAAAGTGGTCCAAGTATGTTAGTTATTGCAACCAGGTATGACACAGGTCAGCCGACTCGATTGTTATTGTGTCAACAACGAATGCTATTTTTGGAGGTTTGTAGAATGTGTGCTATAATTGTACAAAAAAAAAAATTATGTATTATGTGTAATCCACATTTATGTTTTTTTAGTTTCGTAATGCAATACTTCCCTTCAAATTTGGTTTTTGAGTATGCATTGAATAAATATCAGAGGTGAAACCCAAGGAATGCCTTTATCTAAAATAAATTCCTCTGAAACATCATCTTTATTTATTGTTTATTTTTGTTTTCTCGTCTTGCTATAGATCAACCAAGTTGGTGGTCTGAAATTGGAACTGTTTTAGTATGGTTCTTGTTTGATTATTTTGCTTTTATGTATCTTTTTAAGTCACATATCTCATTTATATTGCAAATCATATCATTCTTTTTTTGTTTCTTATGGATTAATTTGATTTTAGGTAACCAATGAAAGGTTTTTGATATGAAGATCTTGTAGTAGAGGATGTTCAACTTCATGTCACAAAGGAACGGGATATGGTTCTAGCGGCGAACATGTGTTTAAAGAAAAAATATTTTGCGCAGAAAATTGAGATTGCAAGTAACGGAGCCTATTACTTAATGGACGACAACAATAAGATGGTTGCGGTGTTCAGAGGCATCCCTCGAAAAAAGGAGAAGAAGATGGATTCAGAGGCACCTTTCGAAAACCATAATACACTGTTTGCAATTCAAAGATAAAGGAGAAACTCAGTGGACAAAAGGATCATTGCAAAAATAATTTCCGAACTAACCATGGCTCAATCTTGGTCACAAAATTTTCAGTATAGAATATTATCAATAAATAGCGTTGATTCACATTCGATACGGAAACATGGGAGGAAACAAGTTTAATATCTTGCTGAGCAAGGACCTTGATCCCAATTGATCATGGAGCGTGCTTTCCCACATCGGTAATTTGATTTATTTATGTTTTTTGATTTTAAGATGAGCTTTTGTTTCCAATAAGTGGATTGAAAAATCTAATTCATATTTTCAACTTTTTCCTTTTTAGTTTAGTTTCGTCATTATAGGTATGATTGAGCCTCATGGAAAAAAGCAATATTTCGCATACTTGCCCGAGATGGTCGGGTATGTGGAGACTTTTTATGTAGAAAAGGATTTGGTGATTCTTAGAGCCAACGATATACACTTCGGAGAGGATGCTATCTTCGTCTTCAAAGTCCAACATTTGATGTTGATAGAAGGAGTTTTAGGGGGACATGTTCCTCGAGATATCGCACAATTAATGACAAATAATCTTTCCTCAATTGTTGACATGTGCAAAGATTTTCAGACCATCGGAGGCGAAAAATATCTCATGGAGAATATCAGAGGGAATATAAAACAATACTTGGAGTTTGCTAGAGAGTAAGTGTTCGTGATATATGAGATTATCTATACATAATTAGTTAATCTGATATTGTTTTTTTTTTTCTATTTCTTTTGCAGGGCTAGATTTGAATCTGAAAGTTTGAACTCCAAGGTGCAGCCACCTATACAATAATTAGAGCCACAACCATCAAAATCAATTTCAAGATTCAAGGCATAGAGAAGGTAGCCGGTCAATTCCATGTTTTGTTTGATACAAGCTAGAATTTTTTTCTTTTTATTTTCTGATCAAGATGACTGCTATGTTCAATATATATATTTAACTTGATGTTTTTTTTTTTTTTCCTAGGGCTGGACGTGAGTGAAAACCACCATAAATCTTATTATGTTCTAGTTATTGTTCTCTACTTTATGGCATTCCTACATGTTTTTATTTATACTAGATGAATATCCGCTCTAAGTGCGGGTTGTTGTTTGAAAATTGAAGAAGAATATTCGTGAATGATTCAACGCAAAAGTTGAAGAAGAGGATAAATGGGAGAAAACAAAATGTAGACTTTTGATTTTCCTCCACTTATTTATTGATGTTTAATCTATACTAGTATTTTTGAAGTACATTTTTAGCGGGTGGGGCAAAATGCATTTGGATACAATGGGTATACGACCCATTTACATATTTTGGTTATAAAAAGTTTGTTAGATCGGGTTATATGTAACCCAACTCATACACCAGATATTTCATGTTTAATAATTTAGATATTTAGAAGATTTGATTAAGATTTAGAATTATGATTCTCCTATCGTCTTTGTTTGATTTGTTTTTAACTGTTTTAAATAATCATATAATACATAAAGCAAAAAAAAAAATCAATTTTTTTTCCTGCATATATTGTGATTCGAAATTTTAAAAACGCACATATATTATCCAATTAACAAAAAATATGTGTTCAACGTTCCACATCGACTAAAATATTTAGACAATGATTTATAATCATATCATAAATAAGATCAACATTAATAAAATAAATAGGTGTTTTGGCGGGACAGGTTTTTGAATCAATAATAATAAAAAAAATTAAAATATCATTAATCCGTAGCTTCAATACGGATTAAATCCTTATTTTTTTTAATACCATCAATATTAGACATATCAAATCAATCTCATTTAGAAAAGATTGTATAAAACTAAAAATTGTCCAGTTGTATAATGTTACTTAATAACAATTATAAAAAATATATATAAATATCTTAGAAAATGATACAATTTGTAAACTTTTATATATAATAAATAATCGTTAAATTTTTAAAATTACTACTTTTAGAAAAAAAATCACGACGGATTAAGAAATTACAGGACAAATTATATTTCGAAACAAGGTTATATGGTGGACGAGTTTGAATCAA